GGCTTGGTGGGCATATGGGCTGTGTGGGACAGCGGTGTTCTTCCGTGCAAGCAGCAGGTGCACGAGGTGGGATACAAAGCAGCCTTTAAAGATGTTCATGGAGAGCAAATGATAACTTGGAGAGTAAAGTGAACAGAATGCTTAGTGTGTGTAGAGTATGGTGTTCACTATTTTTTTTTTTTTGAGCCAGAGTCCGCTTTGTTGCCAGGCTAGAGGAGTGCCGTGGCGTCAGCCTCACTCACAGCAATCTCAAACTCCTGGGCTTAAGCAATCCTCGCTGCCTCAGCCTCCCGAGTAGCTGGGAACTACAGGCATGCGCCACCATGCCGGCTAATTTTTTCTATATATATCAGTTGGCCAATTAATTTATGCTATTTATAGTAGAGACGGGTCTCGCTGTTGCTCAGGCTGGTTTTGAACTCCTGACCTTGAGCAATCACCGCGCCTCGCGCTCCCAGAGAGCTAGATTACAGGTGTGAGCCACCGCGCCCGGCCTGGATGTTCACTATTTTAATGAAGGCATATAAAAAAATCTAGAAAAAAATATAATAACCATAACAGTAGTAGCAAACACAATATTAGTAGTAGCTGCACTTGGTGAGCACTTAGCGTTGCGTCCGCGGCCGGGCCCAGTTCGCCTAGCCATTCTCCTCCTCATTAGACCTTTTCAAAAAATTTATGAAATTTTTCGTGGTTGACATTTTTATATAAAAATAATTCTTTCCTTGTATGTGGGATTTTTTCCTCTAGGTTTCAGAAGAGGATAACTAGATTAAAGAGTGCGAACATTTTTAAGGCTCCTTGGCCAGGTTGCCAAATTTGCTCTCCAGAAAGGCGGGGCCCGTTCACATTCCAACCAGCAGCATACGAGAGCACCCACCCTTGCCCGGCCTCGGGCATCATGTTTATTAATATGTTTTAAAATATTCGCTAACTGGAAAGGCAAAATGGCATCTTATTTATTTTTTCTGTGTTACTGATAAGTACGAATGGTTTTTCGAATGTTTTTGTGCAGGTCATATCACATACAAAAGCAATTGTTTTGTGAGCTGTGTGTACATTCATCTATGGAGATCTTTTTCAATTAATTTATACAACTTGTTCATTTTCTTTTTAAAAATTTTTTCACTGAGTCCATTCTTCTGCAGAATGATGTATGCAATTTTTAAAAAGAATAATTGCCGACGAGACTCGCTTCCAGTTAGTTTGCCGCTAATTTTAAGTTTTTTGGTAAAAATGGTATAGAGAGTGGCGTTGTTAGTAGTGGCATATCTATAACATCGTTGTTTTGCGGAGGTTCTCCGGTCTTTCTAAGGGCTCTGACGAAAGCTCATCCTCCCAGAAAAAACAAAACTTTCTTTTTTTTTTTTTTTGAGACAGAGTGTCGACTTGGTTGCAGGTAGAGTGCAGTGCCGTGGGTGCAGCCGGTAGCTCACAGCAACCTCAAACTCCTGGGCGTCAAGCGGATGCCTCCTGCTCAGCCGTCCCGAGTAGCTGGGGGACTACAGCGGATGCCACCACCGGGATGCTCAGCTAGATTTTTCCTGGACTCATATATTAGTTGGCCCAATGTGAATCTTGTCCGATTATAGTGAAAGGAGGTGGACGGCTGCGCGGGGCGTGCGCTTCGCCGGCGTCTCGCTCTTGCTCAGGCTGGTTTGGAACTCCTGACCTTGAGCAATCCTCCCACCTCGGCCTCCCAGAGTGCTAGGATTACAGGCGTGAGCTACCGCACCCGGCCTGAAAACAAAACTTTCTTTATAGATTCAAAGGTGTGGTCAAAAGTGACACCACCCCAGGCTGCTCAGGTGGTTTCTTTCCTAAATGGTGAGTGAGCAGAGCCCACCTGAGCCACCAAGGTCCGCCGCAATGACCTCAGGAACTAATTTTTTCCCCTCTCTTTTTGTGTCCCAGGACCCAGGATATTCACCTTCAGCTGTCCAGGAAGGACCTCTGGCCATTGTACTCCCAGGACTTCCAGATTCACAATGGAGGAGGAAGCTGGGGAAGAACCAGGGCTGGACAGGTCTTCTCCCAGGGACTTCTACTTTTATCACACAGATCTGTATGACCCCGAAGACAGGCTACAGATCTTCCCAAAACAAAACGTTAGAACAAGGAGGGAAGTCGTCCAGGCTGAAAGGAGCCATGAGCCAAGAGGGGCAGGGGATGGTAAGGTTCAAAGAGACCTTCAAGAGGAAGTGGATGAACTTGTCCACTTGTACGGACTTGAAGATGATCACGAGTTAGGGGATGAGTTCGTTGATGAAAACTTGCCCAGGATGGGGGCTTCAGAATACCCTCCTCATATGATGAAGAGGACAGAGCCGGCCAGGGAGCAGAGAGACTGGAGACTCACTGGAGAGGTGGCAGAGGCCGAGGACCTGGGCCTGGGCGGGTGGGGCTCGGCTGGGCAGTGCCAGGACCTGCGGGAAGCGTACAGGTACGCGCACGGCCGGGCCAGCGAGGAGTACGAATGCTATGTCATCCCAGAAGAGGAGGATGAGGAGGAAGCTGTTGATGTCTTCTGTGTCACTTGCAAAACTCCAATAAGAGCCTTCCAGAAGGTTTTTGATGAGCACAAGGAGCATGAAGTGATCCCACTCAATAAAGCCCTGGAAAGTGCCAAGGTAAACAGGTCTCCTCAGTTTTTCTTGGTCTTGACCGCGCGTTTGTGTCTCAAGGATGTGGGCGGGGAACACATTTAAAAATGCCTTCTGTGAAAGAGAGAGAAAACATTAACACCTTCTTTGTGATCCTCTGTCGGATAGGATGAAATTCACAAAAACATGTACAAGTTGGAAAAGCAGATTCTCGAGATGGAAAACTTTGCCAACCACTTGGAGGAGGTTTTCATCACGGTGGAGGTAAGAGCGCACCTGAGCCCCTCATCAGACACACGATGCCCGCACCACAGCCAGGTCAGGAAGCTGTTTCTGGTATACGTTAAAAAATCTGTTTTCGAGGCTGGGCGCGGTGCCTCACGCTTGTAATCCTAGCACTCTGGGAGGCCGAGGCGGGTGGATTGCTCAAGGTCAGGAGTTCAAAACCAGCCTGAGTGAGACCCCTGTCTCTACTATAAAAATAGAAAGAAATTAATCGGCCAACTAATATATATATATATATATATATATATATATATATATTAGCCGGGCATGGTGGCTTGTGCCTGTAGTCCCAGCTACTCGGGAGGCTGAGGCAGGAGGATCACTTGAGCACAGGAGTTTGAGGTTGCTGTGAGCTAGGCTGACGCCACGGCACTGGCAACAAAGCGAGACTCTGTCTCAAAAAAAAAAAAAATCTGTTTTCTGAGAATGTGAGAAGCCACCACTGCCCCTCTCCCCTCACCCCTACCCCACTTCCCACAGCAGCTGGGCGCACAGCTGGTGGAACTGATGACCCCCCAGCTGTCCCTGCAGGGCTGTGAGCTCCCCGTGGGGAGGCTGGGTCTTCTGTGTCTCCGTAGCCCCAGTCCTACCACGTGGTACGTTTCCCAGCAGACATTTCACACAGGTTTGTCGCATGAAAAAATAGGGCAGGAATTTTCCGATCACTGTCCTTCTCCTTCACCGGCTCCTTTTTCTCCTCATGCCCCTCCAACCAAACCACCAACTGACATCGTTTAGACCCCATGGTTTAGACCCTTATTCTAACACTGATGACTTAACGGTGGCGTCATGCAGTGGAAGCCCCTCGTTTCAGCTCAGGTGGTGAGGTGAACAGCTTTCTTTTGCCCTGGTTTTGTTGTTTGTTTGTTTGTTTTTGTCTCACTGACCATCCCTTGGGCACTATCTGGTGCCCTGGCTGTGTAAAGAGAGACAGTGAGTTTCCATGTTGTTTCCTTGTTCTTTGGGGCTGTTAATTCTAGGCCTTTGGGGTACCTTTAATGTTGACTGCAGAAAGTCAGGTGTGGACTGTCAAACAGCGTTTAGTTGTTTTAAGAGGCAAAATAGCCACTTCTGCCAGTTACTGCTACTCAAGCACAGGCAGACTTTTAGCCGTGCATGGGTTAAAAAAAAATAAGTTTATGCGTTGCCTTTGTCTAGTTAGAAATGTCCATACGTTCCTGAGAGATCGGTAAGAATTTAGAATTCCAGCATTAGAAGGGACTTTTCATCCTTCGACGAACTCGCCTCTCCGTCCTGACATGGGAAGGAACACAGGCTCTTGGTCCCGAGGCCGAGGCCACTGAGCTAGACGCTACTGCTCTGTGATTTCTGCCAGCTGGTCCTATGGCCCCCAGCCCCCAGGGTTGCACAGACAAGGCCAGTCTCTGGTTCGTGGGCCAGCCTTCATACGGCGTTGCAAGACACCCATTCTGTCTTTGAGAAATGGTCTCTTCCTCAGGTGTTATCTATTTCTCATAAGGTTTAATGTTTCCATGCCTGTCACCAAACATGTCACAGTCCCCTGGGTGTGCCCTAGTAGGAACGTAGTATTCCGGGCTGATGCCAGAGCTCAGCCCGACTTTCCAGATGAGGGAGACCAGGACTGAGGACCTTGGGATGTCCCTCTCTCTTCTCGTCATGTGGATGCTCTACTATTAACGCAGCTTCAGGCTGCAGCGACAGGAGCCCCTCATTTGAATTAACTAGGACCCAGGTCCCCTACCCATGAAACTAGGCCCTCCCCACCCCCAGTGTTAGAGGGGAGGAGATCTATTGCACGAACCCCCTGTGGAAGGCACAGAGAAGGGCAAGCCCTTCGCTGCCCAGCACAGGTAGAGTGGGTCACGCCCAAGACGAAACTCCTTGCACCGCTCGCCAGCTCACTCTCTGATCAAGCATCCTCAGCCTGGACTCTGAGGCCGACCTTTCCTACTCAGCACTGGGGAGTCATCCATGGCTTCCCCCTCTCTCCCACCATTCTTAGCAAGTCCTGTGCACTTAGAGGTGCTCGTCATACTCCCTGGATGATTGGCAAGAGCCCATTCTTTGGAAATGCCCCCATCACCTGATGAAGATGACATCAGAGCCTTCAGAGCTCTCCTGGGCTTACCATATAAGTGGTGGGGACCAGGAGACATCATACTCTACCTGATATTTCTCGTCTATTGTGCTCTTAGGTTAAGTCTTGCCGGAACCCTCCCCTCCGCCTCCCTACGTTTTCTCTCCACTAGGCAGTGCCACCAGCCACAGCCTTTGTTCCCTTCTGCTCTCATCGTTCCCTTTGTTGATCCTGGTTGACGTACTCTTGGTATTTGTATGATCCAAGTACCAGGGAGTGAAGATGAGCATCTGAGATGTTGAGATATCAGGAAGGGATGATGGGCCGGGCACCGTGGCTCACGCCTGTAATCCTGGCACTCTGGGAGGCCGAGGCTGGTGGATCGCTCAAGGTCAGGAGTTCGAAACCAGCCTGAGCAAGAGCAAGGCCCTGTCTCTACTATAAATAGAAAGAAATTAATTGGCCTACTAAAAATATATAGAAAAAATTAGCCGAGCATGGTGGCACATACCTATAGTCCCAGCTACTCTGGAGGCTAAGGCAGAAGGATTGCTTGAGCCCAGGAGTGTGAGATTGCTGTGAGCTAGGCTGACGCCACGACACTCTAGCCCGGGCAACAGAGTAAGACTCTGTCTCAAAAAAAAAAAAAAAAAAAAAAAAAAAGGAAGGGATGATGGGTAAATACAGGGCAGGGAAAATACTTCTGCACTAAGGTCCAAGGTGCAGTAGCAGGCCAACTCATTCCTGATCATCTCTCGGCCAGTTGTCATGGTGACAGGAGGTAGCTGGAACCGGGCCAGGATTGCATATTGCTGCCAGGAGAGACAGCAGTGCTTTTGTTAAGACTATTCCTGGGGTTTTAGGTTGAGGACTCCTGGGTCTCAGCTTCTCCAGCTTCCACCCCAACTTCCTGGCAAGAGAGGACAAGACAAAGTGGAGGGACTAAAGCAGCTCTGCATAGACACATTGTCATGCCCCTAATGACACTGATCAACACACCACATGCACTGAAACGATGACTGAGGTCAGCTGTCTTGCAGGAGAATTTTGGAAAACAAGAACAAAATTTTGAGTCACATTACAACGAAATCTTGGAAACACTTGCTCAAAAATACGAAGAAAAAATACAAGCTCTAGGGGAGAAAAAGAAAGAGAAGCTGGAAGCCTTATATGGACAGCTGATCAGCTGTGGGGAGAACCTGGACACCTGCAAAGAACTGATGGAAACCATAGAGGAGATGTGTCACCAGGAGAAGGTTGACTTCATGAAGGTCAGTGATGAAATGATTGTAAAGGGCAGACACGGAATTATGAACAGAGATGACAGGTTGGGCTCGCGTGGGTCGGGCTGCCCTCTCTCCTCCTGGAGGCATCTGCATCCATGGGATTCCACGAGGTCGGGATGGGGAGGTTGTCGCCCCTGCTCTCTGCTTAGCTTCCACACGAGTGGCCGAGCAGGCTCACACACGCTACTCCGTCCTCCACCATTGCTTTGCTCCTCTGTTCTGGTTACCCAGAGATCTGTCCCCCAACCTGGCGCCTCGCAGAAACCGTGCTCTGGCCACCTCAGATGGCCTCTTGGAGCTCTGGGGAGAAACTTGTCAAGGCTGAAAAGGCCCCTTAAATTTCCCAGTTACAATTATAGCAATTAAACATCTTCAGAATCTCAGACATGCAAAAAAAAAAAAAAAATCTACTTCCTAATTTTCTCAAAATCAGATGAAATCTGACCCAATCCTCTATGTGGTTGGGTGTGGAAATTTCAATCTCAATTAAAGCCAGAGTCCCCTTTCTTCACAAGGTCTCACAGGAGTATAGGGCAGATGTGGGGCCCAGGATATAGGGGAAAATTCAAGAAATCTTTGCCAAGACCTTCCCCGTTGCCAAGTATGGGCCCTGTGTCTTCCAAGTCCACAGTTGCCCCTCAAAGCCCAACAGCGCCTCCTTCCTGCTGAGCTCCAGGTGAGGGACCTGAGAGTGAAGCCGGGAGCCATTTGGCAGGCACCCTGCGAGCCATGCATGCTCATCCCATGGTGCCACTGTGCCCAGAATGTGGACAAAGGGACAAACGTAATGTGTTCCTCTCACCATTATTGATGATGGTAAAAAATTGGAAACAGGCCAGGTGCAGTGGCTCACGCCTGTCATCCTAGCTCTCTGGGGGGCCGAGGCGGGCGGATTGTTTGAGTTCAGGAGTTTGACACCAGCCTGAGCAAGAGCGAGACCCCATCTCTAATAAAAATAGAAAGAAATTAGCTGCACAACTAAAAATACATAGAAAAAATTAGCCGGGCATGGTGGCGCATGCCTGTAGTCCCAGCTACTTGGGAGGCTGAGGCAGGAGGATCGCTTGAGCCCAGGAGTTTGAGGTTGCTGTGAGCTAGGCTGATGCCACGGCACTCTAGCCTGGGGGACAGAGTGAGACTCTGTCTCAAAAAACAAAAGTTGGAAACAACCAAAAATATCCAGCAATAGAGGAATAGTTAAGGAAATGATGGAGTTTCCATTGGTCAACTGTTCATAATTAACCGTTATACAAGTTTGCAAGTTGCTGTCCCCACAGACTGCGAGTGACATGGAAAGTGCCACACGGTGCCCATGGTGCCCCGGTGACCACGGGGAAAGCAGCTTTCCTCCAGTGGGGGAAACCCCTGGGCACGGGGCTTTGTCAGGGTGTGGGATGCGGCTGCTCGGCCACTCGTGTGGAAGCTAAGCAGAGAGATGGGGCGACAACCTCCCCATCACGATCTAGTGGAATCCCATCAAATTCCTCCTAATTTACAAGTTTTCTAATATGTTTATGTTACTATATAACCAGAAAAAGAAATTTATTTCCAAAATCAATTTAATATTTCTCCTTTTCCATTTTAGGATGCGGTGCTTATGGCCGACAGGTAATACGTTTGTTCTGACGTGTATTTTCCTTTTATGTTCCTTGCACCTCCGATACTCTAGTAGAATCAATCAGTTCCACTTGTTACACGCTCCCAGTTTCAGCTTTCGTGTCTTCGGAATGACGTCGTGGGGTCACTAGGAGCCTCTAGTATTGAGCCTCAGGTTCTCGGGGAGGGAAGGGGGTGAGTATGGTGAGGCCCAGCCGCGAGTCCAGGGTCAGCTCTTCCACAGCCCCCCATTTCACCAGGAGAAACCTAGACCTGGGAGCACCCCCAATGTCCTCCAGCTGAGCCAGGACCCAGACTGGTGGCTGCAGAAGACACGCCCATTTTAGAGTCAGACAGGCAGAAGTTCGAATTCTGCTACCCCTGTGACCTGGGGCAAGTCCAGGAAGACTGGGACCCACCCTGTCTGCAAACAAGGATAGTTTTGGGAGATGCGAATTAGGTCATGTCTATACAGCAGCATAAACATAGAAGCTTAATGATGTAAGGGTTAAATGCATGGGTTTTGGCAAAGATAGACCTGGTTTCATATGCTGCCTCTGCCATATACAAACACCGTGACCGTCAGGTAGCAGGTGCAAGGAGAGCCAGCGTCCCAGGATCAGAAACCTGAGGCCAGGGGGCCACATGGAAAGGAAGCCCAGATAGTTGGAGCCTCCATACCTTCTGGGGCCCAGAGTGACTTGGGGTGGGAACTTCCAGGTTAGCAACTGAGAGATCTTCCGGAGGGTGTGGATCTGGATCTTACTGGCAGATGTCCCCCCACCCCACCCTTTCTACTCCTCCTCAAAGGCACAGACCAATCCCCCCACCCCCACTGGCAACCCCTAGGTCAGTCACCTAAGCAGATGGTGGGCAGCAGTAACCGGTGTACTACAGGTGCACCCTAAGGACAATGCCCCTGCGTTTCTGTTGGCATGTCTTTTTACACCAACAGACTCGGGAAGTTCCTGAAAACAAAAACCGATGTGGAAATCTCTGCGCAGCCCGACTTTGAAGACCAGACCCTGGACTTCTCTGACGTGGAGCAGCTCATGGGCTCCATCAACGCCGTTCCAGGTGCGGCTCTCGCCCGAGTGCGAGCTTCTCGGCAAGCTCAGGTTTCCTGGAGCTTCTTGTTTTTTCTTGTGGGGAGACCTCTTAACATGAGATCTACCCCCCTTAACATATCTTAAAGGGTACAATACAGTATTGCTCAGTGCAGGAACTGTGTTGAACAGCACACGTCTAGATCTTACTCATCTTGTGCAACTGATCTTCATACCCATTGAGCAATCGGTCTCCATTTCCTCCTCCCCTCGGGCCCAGCAACTGCCATTCTGTCCTCTGTTTCCATGAGTACAGCTGTTTTATGTCACTCTTGTAAGTAGAATCATGCAGTGTTGGTGTCTGTGACGGGCATATTTCACTTAGCATAATGTCCTCCAGGTTCATCCATCTCACAAATGAGTGAATCTTCTTTTGTAAGGCTGAACAATATTCCTGTGTGTGTGTGTGTGTGTGTGTGTGTGTGTGTGTGTGTGTGTCACAGTTTCTATACGCATTCGTCTGTTGGTGGACACTTAGGTTGTTTTCATACCTTGGCGATAGTGAATAGCGAACGCTACAATGAACACTGAGTGCAGATCTCTCTTCGAGATCCTGGTTTCCATTTTTTTGGATACGTACCCAGAAGTGGTATTACTGGATCACGTGATAGTTCTATTTTTAATTTTCTTTTTTTTTTAGAGATGAGATGTTGCTTGTTTCCCAGGCTGGCCTTGAACTCCTGGGCTCAAGCAATCCTGCCACCTCAGCCTCCTGAGCAGCTGGGACTGCAGGCGCAAGCCACCGTGCTCGCCTTATTTTTAATTTTTTTGTGGAACCACCACACTGTTTCCCACGGGCTGTGTCATTCTTTGTTCCCGCCAACAGTGTGTGAGGGTTCCAGTTCTCTAGATCCTCACCAACAAGGATGCTTTTTGATAAAAAGTGGTACTATAGTACCAAGGAAGTTCACAGTGATAAGTGTCTACATTAAGAAAGAAGAAGCATCTCAGAGCCCAGAGTGCTAACCATCACACCATGGAACCCTTCCCAGAAATATCTCAAATAACCAACATAACTTTACATTTCAAGGAACTGGAAAAAGAAGAGCAAACTAAGCCCAAATTTAGGAGAAGGAAGGAAATAATAAAGATTGGATCAGAAATAAATGAAACAGAAAACATTAGAAAGGATCAACAAAACTGAGAGTTGTTTTTTGAAAAGATAAATAAAATTGAAAAACCTTTAGCTAGACTAAGGGAAAAAAGAGGATTTCAAACGAATAAATTAGAAATAAGAGGAGACATTACAACTGATGCCACAGTAATGCAAAGGCTCTCAGGAGATCCTTTGATCTATGAATATTGACACACAAAAAAATTGGATAAGCTGGAAAAAATGAATAAATTCCTAGAAACATGCAACCTATCAAGACTGAGTCATGAAGAAGCTGTAAATATAAGCAGACCAATAATGAATAAAGATTTGGGATGAACTGCAGTAACAAAAAGAAAAAAAATAATGAATAAGGAATTGAATAAGTCATCAAAAACCTCTCAACAGGCCAGGCGCGGTGGCTCACGCCTGTAATCCTAGCACTCCAGGAGGCCGAGGCGGGCGGATTACTCGAGGTCAGAAGTTAGAAACCAGCCTGAGCAGAGCGAGACCCCGTCTCTACTATAAATAGAAAGAAATTAATTGGCCAACTAATATATATAGGAAAAAATATTAGCCGGGCATGGTGGCGCATGCCTGTAGTCCCAGCTACTCGGGAGGCTGAGGCAGCAGGATTGCTTGAGCCCAGGGGTTTGAGGTTGCTGTGAGCTAGGCTGACGCCACGGCACTCACTCTAGCCTGGGCAACAAAGCAAGACTCTGTCTCAAAAAAAAAAAAACTTCTCAACAAAGAAGAGCCTAGGAGCAGATGGTCTCACTGGTGAATTCTAACATTTAAAGGAGAACTAATGCCAATCCTTCCCAAACTCTTCCAAAAAAATTGAAGAGGAGGGGACACTTTTAAATTCACTTTATGAGACCAGCATTACCCTGATACCAAAGCCAGACAAAAACGCTGCAAGAAAAGAAAATTAAAGCCCAATGTCTCTGATAAGCACGGATGCAAAAACCCTCAAGACAATTTGAGCAAACTGAATTAAACGATACATTGAAAGAACCATACACCATAATCAAGTGGAATTTATCTCTGGGACTCAAGGATGGTTCAACACAAGCAAATCAATAAATGTGATACACCACATTAACCTAATGAAGGATAAAAAAATGTATGACCATCTCAGATGCAGAAAACGTATTTGACAAAATTCAATACCTTTTGCTGATTAAAAAAACACTCAACATAATAAACTTATATGACATTCTACAGCTAACATCGTTCTCAACGGTGAAAAGTTAAAAGCTTTTCCTATAATATTAAGAACAAGACCAGGATGACCACTCTCAACATTTCTATTCAGCAAAGCACTGAAATTCTGGTTAGAGCAGTTAGACAAGGAAAAGAAATAAAAGGCATCCAAATTGGAAAGGAAAAAGTAAATTGTCTGTTTGTCGATGACACGGTATTATTGTAGAAACCCTAAAGACTCCCTGAGCTTTGAGTAAGAAACTCAATCTAAAAAAAATATCAAAAGGATTTAGAAACCAAGTATTTTTTTCTTTCTTCCTGTTTTTGTCTTTTTTTTTTTTTTTTTTTGAGACAGAGCTGCTTGTGCCAGGCTAGAAGTGAGGCCGTGGGTCAGCACTACGCCTCACACGCAACCTCAAACTCCTGGCCAAGCGATTCCTGCTGCCCAGCCTTCCCAGTACTGTACTACAGCTGCGCCACCTCATGCTGGTAATTTTTTCAATAAGATTTAGTTGCAATTTAATTTCTTTTATTTAAGTAGAGACCGGTCTCGCTCTGCTCAGGCGGTTTCGAACTCGTACCTGGCATCCGCCGCCTGCCTCAGAAGTCCAGATACAGGCGTGAGCCAGCCCGCCGCTGTTTGGTTATATGGCCGTAAGTGTGAGAACAGAAGGCGACCCTCTCGAAAGGCCACCCTCACTCTCCAGCAGTGCAATTCCCTCTAGGAGCCGTTTTGAAATACTTCGTTCTACCGGTGTGCAGCTTCCTACGCACCTGCCTTCCTGCCCGATTTATGCCAAGCAAGAAGCCCAAGTTCTAGTTTCCGCTAAAAGGTATTATGTCCTCCAGGGTGCCTAGTTTAGCCTAGTTCAAGAGAGGGCTTTGGAATTCATGAGCGGGGAAACCAATCCGACTTCCTAGCTGTGTGGCCCTGGACATTCCACACCAACTGTTCGCTTGAGCTTGGTTCTTCACTGAGAAAGACTCATCAGAACCGCCTAGGGATAGGGCCCAAGAAATAAGGAGACACAGATATGGCACACACGGTACATGTGCAATACCCTTTTTTAACATCTGCTTGATTACGTATTTCAAGGCAATATATGATCAGCATTCATTGACTGCCACCTTCCCTTTCGTCACCACGGCTAAACAGCAGATGAGAATAACGTTGTACGGTATCATTTCATGTTTCATTGCACAGGATTTTTAATAACCAGTGAATACACTGCTTTTTAATCTGCTTTCTCTGCAAAACAATTAGAGAAAAGATGAAAGTCTTTAGCAAATCACTTTAACTGCTACATACTCGTTACTTCAACCTCAATGTCGGATTACTAGATGTCTAGGGTTTTGTGTTTCTGTTTGCAGAGTGTCACTTTGTTGCCTGGGCTCGAGTGAGGCTGTGCGTCAGCCAGCTCAACAGCACCTCAACTCCTTGCCAGCATCCTACTGCTTCCGCCTTCCGAGTAGCCGGGACACAGCATGCACCACCCATGCCGGCTAATTTTCATCTGATATATGTAGTGGCCAAGTTATTGTCTGTCTATTTTTAGTAGAGACCAGGGCGTCTCACTCTATGCCCAGGCTGTTTCCAACTCCTGACCTTGAGCAGATCTCCCGCCTCGCCTCCAGAGTGCCAACTAATTCAGCGTGGAGCCACCGCGCGCCCGCCTGTTTGTTTTTTTTTAACCATTATAAACCATAGTGATATCTTTAATCACCAGGTCTGGCCATTTCTAGCGACCACGGCAATAGGGGCTTTCTCTATGACAGGCGCATGCCCAAATAATCAGGCCTAATCGTCGGGAAGGAAAAGCAGGATCGCCCAAGTCACTACTTGGGAAAGAGTGACATCTTCCCTCACCCTCGGTGTCCGGGTCCCGGGCAGACCACCATCCTCCTGCTGGCCTCTGGTGCCGCCTGAGGGGCTCGATGCTCCTGGAATCGCCCTCCTCTCAGCCCCTGACCAGAAAGGAAAGAGTGAGCTGTAGGTAAATAAACTCCTTTGACTTTAGCTGTGCTCTTGCCTGGATCGCTCAATTTCTAGTTTTGAGACTAAGGATGTTCTTAAAATCCTGGCATGGAGAGAGGTGCTGCCGTGGAGAAGAATTATGGAGGGAAAATACCACTTGTTCTACTCTGTCGTGTGTGAGACTGTGGGGTAGAGGAGGCAGAAGTGCTCGCCTACACTGAAGAGCAGAATTAACTCCATAGATAGACTCTAAGAAAGTTCGTTCTGAAAAGCACAACTGGGCCGCCCCAGTCTTCTCTGGCTGTAATGTGGAGGACGACTGTTGAACGCCCCTCTTCTTCCAACCCCTCGGTAAAAGCAAAAGCAGAGCACGCCAGCTGTTGAAGGCGTCTTTCCCTCTGTTCGCTCCAGGGCTGGGGCGACAGTGCGGTGACGCTGGTGGTCGTCCCTCTTCAAATGCCATGGAAAGGCCACAGCCTGGAGCAGGACGTGCAAACTCTATCCCAGCCCGAGTCCCCGTCACTGGCCCCTGCTCCCCAAGGTCTCGTGCATTTGTCAAAGCAGGAAGGGAAGTGCAGGTTGATCTCCGCAGGCTCGGGGCAGAGGCTCAGCCTCCCTGTCCTCCTCCATTCCCCAAGGCCGTCACGCGCTGGGACCGCTGGGCCTGTAAAGGGGCCACTCCCAGCCCACCCCTCCACCCCAGCCTTCTCATTTTTGTTTTCTGATTTCCTTTTCTAGCTCCTTCCGCTCCAGTGATAAATCCGCAGGCCCCCAACTCAGCCACGGGTTCCTCGGTCCGAGTGTGCTGGAGCTTGTACTCGGATGACACGGTGGAGCGCTACCAGCTGTGCTACCGGCCAGTGCGGGACAGCTCACCTGGGAAGGACCAAGCGGGTGAGGCTCTGCCAGGAACATCTCACGCTCACGGGCGGCTCAGGCTCCTCAGGGGCCCGGCCTGCCTCCCCGCAGTCGGGAAGGTGCAGACGGGGTGGGTGAGCCGGGCACGGGTGCAGGCAGGAGAGCGTGACAGGAAGGGCTCCCACGGCAAGCTGGGCCAGCCTGGGGAGGACGGCTGGGCCAGGCTGAGGGGTCCGGAGCACGTCCACAGCCGTCAGGTCAGGGCGGGCCTCGGGACGGTCTGTGGCCGCGGTGTGACAGGACGGGCGAGGCCCGGCTGGCACGTGGAGTGTCCCGTGCTGCAGAAGAAGCTGAGCTGGGGGCTTAGCGTGCAGACGGCAAGAGGGCGAGGGGCCCTGGCCGGCGCCACACTCCCAGGGTGTGACAGCTCCTGGGAACGGCCCCACCCCCACTGCGGGCAGCTCTTGGCCGCCACCGCCCAGGGGAAGGGGCTGGCGGGCGTGAGGCTGGGGCCGGGGTAGCCCCCGCTGATAATCAATAAGCCATTCTCCTGTCGAGAGGGAGGGTCACACACAGGACAGCCCCAGCGGAGCCTCTGGAGGAATCGGGGCATCCGGCCTGCCCCATGCCTGTGGGTCGGAGTGAGGTTGCCGGAAAGGGACGTAGAGCTCTCTCCATTTTATGGATGGGGAAACTGAGACCAGAGAGAAATGAGCGGCCCGTGGGGACACCGTGAGCTGTGGCAGGAGCAGGATGAGAGGATGGTGTTTCTGCCCTAGGAAGGAGGGGACTCTGGAGTGGAGTAAGAGGAGGTTTAAGTGATGACGCGGAAGGGGAGGGTGGTCAGAATCAGGACTAATGAGGCCAAGGGGGGAAGGCAGAGCTTGGAAAAGGGAGGTTGAGGACCAATAATCAGACGCTACTAACCCTGGCTTTCTCCACGAATCAACTCTGATGGCGCCCCCTGCAGGCACACAGAAGCCATTGCAATGGGCTGCATCATGACACTCTGTATGAAGATCTCTTAAACGGGCCACTTTGCTATAAAATAACTAATATCAGAGGGTGGATTCATGAGTTATCACTGCCTTTCAAGATTCTGGAGATATATGCAATTGTATCAGTTACTTTTTGCTGCATAACAACACCGCCTCCTGCAACTTAGTGGGCAATGAACATTTATTATTTCTTACAATTCTATGGGTTGGCTGGACAGTTCTTCTGGTCTGGGCCACCTTGGATAGGGCTGGATGGTCTAGGGTGGCTGCGGCTCAGGTGGGATGACTTGGGTGGCTGAGGCCTCTCTCCCTGTGGTCTCACGTCCTCCAGGAGGCCGCCTGGGCTTGTTCACGTGGAAGTGGGGCATTCCCAGCAGCGAGAGGACAAGGCCCCATGCACCAGCTCTTCCCAAGCCTCTGTTTGCATGGTGCACGCTATCGCCCCACTGGCCAGAGCAAGTCACGGAGCTAAGCCCGGCTCCCAGGATAACAAGAAAGACAGAACCTCTCAATGGAAGGCGCAGCAAAGTCCTGATGCAGAGGGTGTACGTGCAGGGACGGGAGGAACCTGCAGCCAGTTTCCTCATCTACTGCAGTGGGATTCGGCACAATGAATTTGGAGCCACATGGCCTACTTTAAGAGTTGAATTCTTGTCTTTTTTTTTTTTCAGAGTTTACTGTGACCGTCAAAGAAACATATTGCTCAGTGATGAAACTTGTGCCAAATACTCAGTACGAATTTTGGGTGACAGCTCATAACAGGGCTGGCCCCAGCCCCCCCAGCGAGCGTGCAGTGTACATGACAGGTAATGGTGGCTCCTGCTCTGTAGTGGGGCCTTTGATCAAGGGGAGGTGAGTCGTGGGTTCTTAGGCACGGCAGGGCTCGTATTTCATTTGGAAGGGCAGGAAGAGCTGTGCGGTGCTTTTTCTTTTATTTAATACACCAAATCTACATGCCTGGTGTGACACAGACATTGTCTCATGGCTGGTCTCAAAATAACAAAAACTGCTACTCTCAGTCACACTGACATCTGAACATTGAAACCGTCCTCCGCTGCAGGGGCATCTGAAAGGGGTTCCCTGTTTGCTGTTTATGGCGGTGAATCTCTTTTGTGGGAGGAGGAGGGTGGCTGGGCTGTTTGCCTGCGGCTCCCAACAGTTGTCCTTCCGTCCCTTTCTCCCACCTAGCGCCTTCGCCCCCCATTATAAAAACCCAAGAGATAAGAAGCTGCGAAGAGGCCGCCCTGATCTGCTGGGAGTCTGGAAACCTGAACCCCGTGGACTCCTACACCGTGGAGCTGACCCGTGCAGAGGGGCCAGAGGCCCCCGGCGTGACTGAGTGAGTCGTGGCAAGGGCATTTACTGGGCGGGTGACACCCGACACCCTGACCTGGCTTAGGAGGTGTGCAGGGTCTGGAGAGAAGGTCGGCATTTGTGACACACGTGAATCTTGACTTAGGCGGCCTTGTTTTTCGTAAGTAGCTGGAATGCTGTTATTGAAGGTGAATGATGAATGAACAAGTAGGTTTAACCTCACCTTTGGGTTTTTTTAAGCCCCAAAGCATTCATTCATTTATTCATTCATTCATTCAACAAGCAGTGAGCACCTGGGTGGTGCCAGGCACCGGGGGACTAGACAGACAAAGCCCTGCCCCCAGGGAGCTGGCAGTCACATGGGGAAACAGACAAAAAGCAAAGAAACACAGCGATGTGTAAATGCGCGGCACCAGGAGGCAGGAAGAAATGTACCGGAACAGAGGGCGGGTGGAGGTGAGGGTCTACTCGGGATGGACGGGACGTTTAAACCGAGACCTGACAGGTGGGAAAGACTGAGCCCTGAAATCCGCGGGTTCGGGGTGCATGGACACAGGCCCGGGCAGGAGGAGCTGGTTGTACTGAGGAAACTGGAGGAAGTAAAGGACCCGCTGGCTGGAATTCAGGGAGTAGAGGGGGAAGGGCATGGGGCAAAAAAAAAAAGAAGCGAGAAAGAGAGAGAGATCGCAGCTGAGTGTACAAAGAACGTTGCGTCTATCACAGAAGGCTGTGCGGAGGCCCAGGTCACCGCTGGTTGTCAGAGAGCTGGGGGGAGCGGTTTCACAAGTAGGTGGGGGCTGGACTCGGTGACCACTAGGGCCCACAGATCTCGGGAGCCTATGGGGTGCTGTGCACGAGGAGGAAGCATGGATGTCCTTCTGGTTGACAACCAGGCAGTCCAGAAGTTTGCGGAAGGGGAAGGAACCGGCCAGGCAGCCCAGTCCCAGCCACCTCGCCCGGGTGTTTTGCTGCCGCGTGGCACAGGGGCCCGCTGACCTGGCTCTGGAGAAGTGGAGGGGTATTTGGTGTCGGCTGTTAGGGAGGCAGATTCTTCTTTGCTAAATGCCGGGCTGGGAACCCGCATCTACTCCACCCACACACAGCCACACACAGCCAACTTGGTATCTGCTCCTGGAGGTGCAGGAGTGGGGCCGGGGCCAGTGGTGCTGGCCACCTAATGGCTCAGCTTTCCCTTGCTATTTGTGCTGATAGTTTAGGAGCACCTGGCGCTGGGACCAACCTATGATAACCAATCAGAGGGCTGGTCAGTGACCTGACAGATGACCTATGAGGTGGTTGGTGATGACTCTCCCAGGACGCATCTAATCATGGCACCCACTGCTACAGAAGAGGCAAAACTCCTACACAGGCTCCGGCCCCTTCCTGCCTGACCAGCCCCTTCCTCTCCAGCTCCCCTCCCTCTCCAGCTCCTGCGGCGTCAGTCATGTTTCAGTTCCTCCTACTGCCCACGCCCCTTCCTGCCACAGGGCCTTTGCATATGCCTCTGCTGTGTAGGAAGTTTCTCCATCCTCTTTTCATCCAGTTACCTCCCAGTCCTTCTTCAGAGCTCCGCTCCAAAGTCAGCCCCCACTATAAACTCTATAGCTCGCTGTCCACTCACCACCGTCATGACCTTACCTTTCCGCCCGTGACTGCTCGAGGGGCGCCTCTCTTCCCAGCTAGACTGTACGCTCCATGCGGGCGGGCGCTGTATTCGGTTGTCCCAGGGCCTCCTTATGCAGTCCTTGGAACCTAAGCAGCTTAGTTAATGTTTATTGAATGAATACGTGAAAGCCCCCTCTGGCCTGGGGCTGCGGCCAGCTGAGATGTCCCGGACGCCCTGACCTGGTCTGGGCAGGGTGTGGCATCTGTGTAGCGAGCATCACCCTACAGTCGCCTCTCGCCCGCCGGACTGAAATGGGGTCGGCATCCGCAGCAACTCAGACGCGGCGAGCATGGGCTTGCATTGCTGCGTGGCACGACGGAACACATCCGAGCATTCCCAGCAGGCGCTGTCCTCAGGCGGGAAAGGGCAGGGGCCTTCCGTGCCCTCTCAGCTTCAGTCAGAGTTGCTTGTTCACAGACAGACACGGAGTGGGGTTCACAGACACGGAGGTGCCCTGACCCCGCGCCGACTGCCACCCTGCTTCCTCTCGCCCAGGTCCGTCGTGGGCATCCCGACCTGCGAGTCCCTGGTGCAGCTGCAGCCCGGGCAAAGCTACCTGATCTACGTGCGGGCCCTCAACATGGGCGGCCCCAGCGCCAGGAGCCGGCCTGCGACAGTCCACACCACAGGTCTGTGCCCCGCCCGCCACACACTCCCTGGGACCCCAAATGGTCATTCTGTGGCAGCCCCAGTGCTGCTGGGACTTCACTAGAAAATAGGTGACTATGTAGACATGGCACATGGCAAAAAAGCCAAGAAAGGGCTTGGAAGGTGATGAAAGCCTGTGGTCCCACTTTATAGATGAGAAGACTGAAGGCCCAGGTCACAGAGCAATTTGGTGGCTGAGCAAGAAAAACTCAAAGTTTATCTCCATGACCCCCAGATGGACTAGAGGCTTGTCACACTGGACCTGGTGGCCCATACACCTCCTAGCTCATACGGGCTGAATGCCACCCCAGCGCAGGGTCTTATGAAATTCCCAGGAAGAGCTATTAGCCGTGGCTCCCCTCCCTGTCCCTGCCATCAGCCCAAGCAGCTCCCGAGACCCGGCTGTCCAGCCTCCTCCCCGGCCCTGCCTAACATCCCCAATTCCAGCTCCCCCGCCATCACCATGTCACAGAACCGTCACACCTCATGTCCACACCTTGAGTTAGCAGAAACATCACTAGAAACATCCCACACGCCTTCTGTGGTCCCAGCACTGCTGTGGCTCTGGGTTCAGGGCTTTGCCAAGGTGCACTGGAGCCAGGTGGCTCTGCCCACACCTCCCAGAGCAAACGTCGCTCAGGCTGGCTGCTTGGGGCACGCAGACAAGACGCAGAGGCAGGGAGCCCGGGCCGAGGGCTCAAGGACATCACTCCCTTGGCTGGGGTCTTTCACTGAGAGGCTTGTGTCATTTTGTCCTCCTTTACAACTCTGGGAAGAGAGGTATGTCATTAGCCCTGCCCCCACTTACACAGAGTCCCCGTTACCCTGGGGGGATGCTTTCCAAGAGCCCCAGTGGATACCTGAAACCACAGAGAGCACTGAACTACACGTACCGTATTTTTTTCCTATACATACACATCTAAGGTAAAATTTAATGTATAAATTAGGCACAGTAAGAGATTGACAACAATAATAAAATAGAACAACTGTAACAGCATGTCCCGACCCGAGGGACCTTTTGTTACTCGCGGGGGGCGAGGGGGACCGTGCCTGAAAGAGATGGGCGAGAGAAAGGAACGAGACCAAGCAAATGGTTGTCAAGGTCTACTTTACTTAGATTTTTTGCTGGTTTTATAATCATACAGAAACAAGGAAGTATGAACAGAAAAATAGAGTGGGGGGATGATGAGGCTCGGGTTTGGGTCAGTCAGCCCCAATTAGCATCCTCGAAGCTGTTTGTAACTGATCACTCAACCTCAACCTGGCGGGGGTCGGGAAAATTGCAGGTAGCACCCCCTGGAGCAAACAATTCAGGTAGCACACCCTGGAGCAAGTACATCATGGAATGCATTCTTCTCGGAGCTATAGCTGGAGGGTTGGGTGCTTATTTTCGTCCTGGGAATTTTCCAGGGCGAGGCCCGTGGGTAGGACAAGTCGTTGGGGTGTTGAGGGTCTTAGTCTCTAACAACAGCATACCCTAATAAGAGTTGTGTGAATGGGGTCTCTCTCTATCCCTCTCAAAATATCTCATTGTACACAGTATTTTGAGACTGCAGTTGACCTCGGGCAACTGAAACCATGGACAGTGAAAGCCCGGATAAGAGGACTGCCGATTCCTTCCCCACAGACGGGAGAAGCAAGCAAAGTGGCCACCCAAGGTCCCAGAGCTGGTAGGGGTTAGCGCTAGATTTAGGACCCAGGTTTTTCTTTTCCTTTGTGCCGGGGCCTCCCTCTGTTGTCTGGCCCTCTGATTTCCAGTGCTGACTTGGTGTTGAGATGTCAAATTCTGGCTGTTTCCATAAAAGAGAACATAGAGCAAGAGGCACCGCCCGCTCTTGATTATTCAGTTGTCTCTTTGCCATCTGTTCAAATAATTTTTTTAACAGTGTATTTATCAGAAACTTAAATCAGCAAAAGAGTTACATATTCAAAAGTGATCTCTGTTTGAGACTGGGGGTAGGAGGGAGGCAGTGAGGACCACGCCTTGTGCTGGCTGCCAGGCGGGAACACGCCTCCCCCTCACCAGTCAGCTCTGAGAGCAAGTGAAATTTCCAGTAGCATCAAATTGTGAAAGTAACTCTGGACAGTTTGATGGCGATGCTTGAACTAGAGTTTGAGACAATGAGAAGTGACAGAATGGGAACACAGGAACAGAAGAGCTTGGCTAAGAGACAATAATGGAGAATAAGGACCCCCATCTCTACAAAAAAAAAAAAAAAATTAGCCAGGCACAGTGGCACGCACCTGTAGTCCCAGCCACTTGGGAGACTGAGGTAGGAGAATCACTGAGCCCGGGAGATGGAGGCTGCAGTGAACTGTGATCATGCCACTGCACTCCAGCCTGGGCAACAGAGCGAGACCTTGTTGAAAGAGAGAGAGGGGGGAATGGATTTTTTAAAATAAATAATTTTTTATTAGCTCTGTCCTATACCACCTTTTGATGAGCTTTGTTTTAACCATGATTTGGGGATAACTCTAATCTCCTTCCTTCTCCCCTACTGCCCTAAGTTGCAAGCTGAATGTTGAACTTTGCTAACCCCTGTCAGATGGGTCATTAAGAAGTCTCTCAACTCCATTTCCCTTGGCAAGTAGTTTAGAAACTCTTGTCCCTGTGCAGGCATTTACGGTAGAAGTTAAGAGCACAGCCCCTGGAATCGGAGCAGCTGGGGTTCAAGTTTGGGTTCTATCATCTACCAGCTGATTTCTTAACCATCCTGTGCCCAGTTTTCTCATCTGCAAAGTGGAAATAGTAACACCTGTTTCTAGGGGTAATTGTGAGCATTTAAGGAGCTAAGACTTGCAAAGGCTTAGCATACTGCCCACTCTGTGCTAACTGCCATCCTTATGCCTGGGAAGGCTGCTACTATGTGGGGTCCTGTCTGTGCGTGTCACAAGCCATGCCCAGCCATGCACCGTGCAAAAGCCATGTTGAGCCCCCGGGTGGAGAGAGCAGTGGCGTGACAGTCTGGGGGTCATCCGCGTGTTCCTCTCCTGCAGGAAGCTACTTCCACCTAAACAAGCACACCTGCCACCCCTGGCTGACCGTTTCTGAAGACGGGTTTACAATTGTCCGGAGCCAAAGGAAAACGCCCGAGAGGGAGCCACCACCCAGCGACACCCGGTTTACCAGGTACTTTGCCAGACACCCGGATGCAGCCCTTGGGGGTGGGGGCAGAAATCTCGGAAATGCGTGAGGAGGTGGGGGCCGGGTGGGGCGGGACAGGCAGGTGGTGGCCCCTGGGGGAGCCGCGGGGTGCGGGACGCGCCACGTGCTGCGGAAGAGCAGAAACAAGGACCCAGGTGTCTGCTGCCGCTTCGCCGGGGCTCCGTCCTGCGCTGTGGTACCTGGTACCAAAACTCCTGATGAAAAACTGGCGATGAAGTGAGCCTGTTCCAAAGTCGATGGGGGAAAGGTTCGCTGTGGAGCGTGACATTAGGGGAGGGGTGGCCCCGAGGGTGTAGGCTGGCTCTCCAGCCGCTTGCTTCTAGGGCTTGGTGCACAATAAATGTTGAAATGATCAATTCCTTACTTCCTTCCAAAGATTTATAAAACAGTTAAGATAAGGAACAAACATACAGTACTGAAATAGAAAAAGCAATAGGAGAAAAAAAGAACACAGGTTAACTCCAAGGGCTAATTTCTAGGATTAAGCATTAAACGCGGCCTCTCAGCTTCCTGGTCTTCAGGGCAAAAAGAGCGCCTGGCAGGTTGATTTTGGAGTCAGGAGGGTTCTCTAGGGAAACAAAGGGGCTCTCCTGTGAGGCTGGACGGGCCACTGATGGGAAATTGCACCCAGCCCCGCTGTCTGGGAGCCGGGCAGTCCTCTCGGCTGGTTCCCTACCGACCCTGGCTTCGGCCTGGCCTTTTTGCTGTCCGTGAGCCATGCACCTACTGTAGCTTCAGTGTGAAACGACAGAACTATGCAGGGTACACAGGTGTCGACCCAAAAGGAAGAAATGAGGCAAAATTAACATAAGGAGAGAGTTTATTGGGGCCAAGCTTGAGGACTGCAACCTTGGAGATTGATCACGTTGCTTCGAGTATAGGCTCTGATTAAGAGAAGTTAGGAATGCATTTTTAAAGGCAAAAAGGGGGAGAGGGGTGGGTTGATACTAAGTTGTTTGTTGAGAATTCTCCTTGGCCTACAGAAATAACACTGATTAGTAAATTGGCTGTACATTGCTGAGCTATAGGATGTGGGGTATAGTGTCCAGGGGGGCACTGTTAGGTTAATTTATAGCAACTTGTCAAGATAGCAAGCAGCTTCAAGAGATAACACATAGCTCAAAGTGAGGAGTAGGATATGAGTATGATCTCATTTTAATGTCTCCCTGGGCCTGAAATTAAAAGAATTTGCATTCCTCAGATAAAATTTCATTTCTTTTCTTAGAGGAAAACAATTTTATCCTTTCCCTCTGCCCATTCATCCCAGGGGTTGGGGTATGCAGCGAGGAGTAAGAAGCAATAAAGGTCTTACATGGCTGTCACCAAAGCAGTGTTTAAAGCTGACTTTTCTCCTGGGCATTGCCATAGGCCCCAGGCAGCCCCGCCTCTGGGGGCCCTTCTCAACCCATCGACCTCTGCATCCAATCACAACCTCTAGCCTCCTTCTGCTGAGGTCTCCTCAACCCTCACAGGAACCCCTCTTGGGCAGGATCTCTTCAAAAACAACACCGGGGGCCAGATGTGGTGGCTCACACCTGGAATCCTAGCACTCCAGGAGGCTGAGGCGGGAGGATCGCTTGAGACCAGCCTGAGCAAGACTGAGACCTGGTCTCAACTGAAAATAGAAAACTTAGCCAGGCACTATGGTGCACACCTGTAGTCCCAGCTACTTAAGAGGCTGAGGCAGGAGGATCACTTGACCCCAGGAGTTACAGTGACCTATGACTGCAATAGTGCACCCCAGCCTGGGTGACAAAGTGAGACCCTGTATCCAAAAAAAAGATACAAAAAGAAAAGCCCCCAATCATATTTAAGAGCAAACAGCTGTTCTATTTGGTTTGGTCTGGTGTCCCCTCCTCTCCCGTTACTGAGCAGTACAATGATCCGCTTCTAACCTTCAGCAACGGCCAGCTGAGCTTTGCCAGCTAAGGGCACTTTACAAACGAGGCGTCCAGAAGCACCTTCACAGATCACCCGCTGACTGACCCTAGCAGTTGGCATCACTCACATGCACAGCCAAGGCCGGGGTACCCCAATCACACATGCTTCCTGTTATGGGGGGAATTTGTACACGAGTGGAGAAAGCATTCTCAATGCAAAGATTAGGGTATAAAGAAGTGAAAAGTTTATTTTACTTTCTCAGAAAAAGAGGCAGAGAGAGGAAAGAGATGGCACGGCACCCAAAATAAGGAGAGGGGCAGTGCTGGCTGTGACAAGAAGCAGCTCAGGATTTTTATGGGACAAAGAGAAGAATGGAAAAAAACAAATAGTAATGGCTGTCAGCTGGTCACAGAAGCGGGCATGGACTAATTAGCAAGAGGCAGCTGGCAGCCATTTCTCCTTGATTTTCCCCTCCTTCTGGAGACCTGCTCATCAACTTCTCTGGAATGTGGTCTTGTCCCAAGGTCTTGTGAATGCAAAGGAGAATTTACAATTTCTTTTTGTCTGCTCAGATCCTTTTAATTGCTGTAAAAACATCTCTGCAGGCGATCAATTAGTGAGAGAGCAGGTGTGATTAATTTTAAAGACAGGAGTTAAGGTACATCTGTTATTTTGAGACTGTGGGTTAGATCATTTATTTTTCCCTGTTGGTTTATTAGCAAGGCCATCCTATCACTTCCATTTTCTAAAACCAGGTGTGTTGCTGTCATGGGAAATCTAATTCCAGTCCGAGGGCGCCATTACTGGGAGGTGGAGGTGGATGAGCGTTTGGACTACACAGTTGGTGTGGCCTTTGAAGATGTCCCTAAACAGGAGGACCTGGGAGCAAACAGCCTTTCCTGGTGCATGAGGCACACATTTGCATCATCAAGGTAACGTAAAATCTGGATACCCAAGATTAAAATTTGCTTTTGAAAGATTGGAGCGAGAGGTTTTCACTAATAATAATTAAGGCCCATATTATGTTTTACAAAATGTCCTAAGATATTTTAGGAGTTGTTGCCAGCCACTTTCCCTAAAGTCCAAATGAGAAGAGAAAGAACAGCTTTTCTTTGAGTAAAAATAACTAAAATTCATGGAGAGATCATTATGTGCTCAGCACTATTCTACTCTTATGTACATTATCTCATTTACTTCTCAAAATTGTACTATCCCATTTTACAAATAAGAAGGCTACGCCTCTCAGCAGTTAGATAAGCTATCCAACAGAGCTTGGATTCAAACTCAAGAGGTCTGGCTCCAATGACTGCATTCTTAACTGCTAAGCAATCGATTTTTCATTTATGTTCCATTTCAGTGTTATTACGTGGATAGTTTAATTTGAAGCCCCAATTCCATTTTTTTAAGTAAATGTGGGTAAGAGGCTTCATGGTCATGGCTAATTCTAGTTTGCTTCTGCTGCTAAGCACTCAGTCTCTACATGTGTGGCTGGGGGAAAAATTCTTCGAAACCCAGGGCAATGGGCAAAATTTTCAGACTTAGAAGGCAATGGTTATAACCTTCACCTCAAAATCGGAAAAAAAAAAAACCCAAAACCACACTGCTTTTGTAATATGGGGCCTCTCACCTTCCTTGGCTGGATGGATCCTATTAACTTTCATCCAGTGTTCTCTGCCCATGAGCCTCCAACATGGTTAAAGATTATCTGTCATACCCAAGCGCAAGTGGGAAGACCAACTTTCCCCGAGACTGAGACTATGATGAATTCTACTAAATTCTACTAAACCTCAGACCCAGTTTGGGGAATGCAGGGATTACTATGTACTGAGCCAAATACTTTATTTGGGGATTCTGCCTGAAGTAAGACTAAAGAGCAAAGTCTCCCTCCTATTCTTTAGAAAGGTAAGGGGCAAGCCAGGCGCGGTGGCTCATGCCTGTAATCCTAGCACTCTGGGAGGCCGAGGTGGGAGGATCACTTGAGGTCAGGAGTTCGACACCAGCCTGAGCAAGGAGACTCTACTAAAAATAGAAAAAATTAGCTGGGCAACTAAAAATAGAAACAGAAAAAAATTAGCAGGGCATGGTGGCATGTGCCTGTAATCTCAGTGACTCAGGAGGCTGAGGCAGGAGGATGGCTTGAGCCCAGGAGTTCGAGGTTTGAGGTTACTGTGAAGTAGGGTGATGCCATGGCACTCTAGCCCAAGCAAAAGAGCAAGACTCTGTCTCGCAAAAAAAAAAAAAAGAAAAAAGAAATGTAAGGGGCAGAGTAAAACTGAGGGAGCATAAAGGACACTTAGGCGTGGGAAGAGTCAGGGGCAGAAGACAGAATAGAAGAGGCTGGAAACATGAGGTAGAAGACAAAGGAAGGGCAGAGGCAACAGGCCAAGTGCTAGAGCAGTTTCTTGTATCCTACCTTGGAAAAATGTAGGAGAGTGTGTGTGAGTGTGTGTACGTGTTGCAAGTGGAGGATTCGGGTACAGTATCCTAGGATAAAATCGCCCAGAGGACTCATATGTTTTGTTCCACAGTCTTAGACTGTTGCCTGTGGGAGGGAAGGTAGAAGGAAGGACTCCCAGCTTCTGGTGGCTGCTTAGTTAAGAAGACAAGGTGAAGGGAGATGGAGACAGGCTGGCTTGCTCTGACACATTTAGATCATACTCCAAGTGCTCATCCCCTAGCCTGGACCAGTATGCTGGCACACGGAGCTCTGCAAATGTCCGCAGGCGGCTGGGTTAGGAAATTCCTGTGGCTAGTTTTGGTTTCAGCCATTTTCAAAAGCACACAGGATACATACAGAGCATGGTTAAAAGGTACTAGTGCCATCAATCAGTGACAGGCTCACCGGATGCCCCCCTCAGTTTGAAAGTTTAAGAACTGGAGTATTTGTGCACAGAAGAGCCTATACCAAAAGGGCCATTTTATCACATGAAAGATCATAAGGTTCTCTGTTTCAGGTATCTTTATTACAAAGGAGTTACACACTTGAGCCTTGAAATCCAAATTTTTAAAATGTGTTCTATTTCCATGCTAATTTTGATGCAATATGAGTTCATGATACCGTATGTGAGTTCCTTAGGTTGAGAGGTTGCTCAAGAACAGAGTTTGAAAATGTTTCTTAGGACAAATTTTATAAAAGAGACATGGTTTAGAGAGTATAGTTTTGGAAATGGCCTGTTACTTTGGGAGTCATTTAATACAAGAAAATAACAAAATCATAGGAGTATGAATAAAATTAATATGAACTGTTCTGTAAATAGTCCATCTGAAGAATTTCTGAAGCTTTGTTTTATCAACATTTGATTTTCAGGCATAAGTATGAATTTCTGCACAACAGAACAACTCCAGATATAAGAATAACAGTTCCGCCAAAGAAGATTGGCATTCTGTTAGACTATGAAAATTCAAAGTTGTCATTTTTCAATGTGGACATTTCTCAGCATCTATACACATTCAAATGTCAGCTTCACCAATTGGTACATCCCTGTTTTTCTTTGGAAAAGCCCGGGTGTCTAAAGATACATAATGGCATTTCAATGCCAAAGCATGTCACTTTCTGACCATTCTGATGGCCAGTTTCCTGTCTCTCTTGTATACCTACCCCTCTCAGCTGGCAGAACTTGGCATTCAAGCACCACGTGCCCAGCACAGTTTATGGCTCATGTCATTACCTGGCAGACTAGAGTGCTGGCTCTCATTTCACCTGACCTGGATTCTAGCCCTGTGCACTGCTACCTGTGTGACGCTAGGGTAGCCATTACCAGGCCCAGCTACAAAATGAGGGCTCAGACTAAACTCAAAACTCTTTCAAGTTGGCAAATTGTATTTGTCTACTTGTGTATATGTAAAGTCTCCTGAGTCTGCAAGGCCTGCAGAGCTCGGGGAAGGGGAGGGAAGTCTTACTGGCTCCAGCACCCAGTACACTCACATTTCACGAGTCAGAACAGACTTGAGCAGGTAAGAGGCAGCCCAGAGAAGCAGGGACACCATGTCCCCTTCCCAATGCCTCCTCCCCTCCTGTCTGCCTGACAGTGATCAGCGCTGTGGTGACATGCCCCCACTGCGCACTCTTTCCGCTCCTTCATAGTGCTCACGCTGCTCTCCAGGTTTGAAATTCCCTCTGTAACGCCTACTTCCATGAAAGCAGGGATAGTACCTGTTTTGTTCACCCCTTGATCCCCAAGGGCTAACATATAACAGCTGACACCAAGTATTTGTTGAATAAATTTGTTGAGAATCTTCTTCATCCAGCCACTGCTGTGTGGCCCCTCTCTGCTCTCCATGTGAAGGATGCAGGGCTCTGTCAAAACTGTAGCAAAGGACCTATGGCCTGAAGAGGAAAAACCCAGAGGGGAGGCAGCATGAAGGAACGGAAGGGCGTCTGTGGCTTGATGGCAAGATGGGGAAACATGGGACACTACTACTACAAGCAGCACACACATAAATGTGGTGCTTCTGTTATGTGTGTTGAGGAGGGGGGTACAGATGGAGATAAAATAGAAAAAACATTAGTTACAGCTGATTCTATAAACTGTCCTGCAATGTAAAAAGAACCAGATTTGAAATGAGAAGACCTATGTTTAATTGCTACTTTGTAGCTACTTTGCCTTATGACCCTGGAAAAGTCACTTTATCTTCCAGAGCTGCTGTTTCCCTTTAAACAAAAGAAAAATACTTGTCGCACAGGTCTGGGAGACTTACTGACACACTCAGACCACCTAACAATATATGGTATAGTGCAAGTGCACAACAATTTTTTAAAAACAATCAGCCCCCTAAAGGGCACAGCTGAGTGCTGATGGGAAGAGTGGTGTTTAGCCAGCAGCCCTAAGGCATCCTGCCTCACTGCCCCCTGCCATTCTGTGACCTCGATGCCCAACTCCATCGGCTGCACTCCTGGTTCTCCACTTCCAATTTCCAGCTACCATGTAAGCTCTGCACAAGCAGCATTTTCAAAGCTTGTGAGTCAACACAGAGCTCATTTGTGAACCAATTATCAGAGACAATTCTGTATCATGCCGCATGGATGCCTCTCTAAACCCAGAGATGCCCTCATCTCATCACTTAACGTTTTGTGTTAGCTGGAAAAGTCTTTCGCTTTAAAACTTTCCTGTTTTCCGGTACATGTACAATCTAACACACTGAACACTTCTCACCTCCTCCTGAACTCTGCCCACTGATACAAACAGCAGCTCAGGTTCCTGAATTAACAAGTCATGCTGACAATAGCTCATTACACGACCCGCCCACCCCACCCCCACACACACCTGCTCTGCCAAGCTGGGTCACTTGCCCTGAAATAAGGTACAGCAGATGTAAACACAAAACGGTTCAAGTTATGAACGATTATATGTATGTGTATACTCAAAAATGTTCTCAGCTACTGAAATAGAACCTGCCAAGTAGGAAATAGGATTCACACAGAAGGCAAGTTTGAATTCAGGGTTCTAACAGGCTTTATGGAGTACTTCACATGTTAATATTAATGTGGATAAATGGATAAAAACTGGACCCTTGTAAGGTTTTGGTAAGATTTTTATTTGACCAAGAAAGAAGTGTCTAGAATTGTCTTTGACATTTAAAATCCACTTACACAAGGCAGATGACCCGTGGCAAAAAAAAAAGAAAAAAGAAATGTAAGGGGCAGAGTAAAACTGAGGGAGCATAAAGAACACTTAGGCATGGGAAGAGTCAGGGGCAGAAGACAGAATAGAAGAGGCTGGAAACATGAGGTAGAAGACAAAGGAAGGGCAGAGGCAACAGGCCAAGTGCTAGAGCAGTTTCTTGTACCCTACCTTGGAAAAATGTAGGAGAGTGTGTGTGTGTTGCAAGTGGAGGATTCGGGTACAGTATCCTAGGATAAAATCGCCCAGAGGACTCATATGTTTTGTTCCATAGTCTTAGACTGTTGCCTGTGGGAGGGAAGGTAGAAGGAAGGACTCCCAGCTTCTGGTGGCTGCTTAGTTAAGAAAAGAAGACAAGGTGAACGGAGATGGAGACAGGCTGGCTTGCTCTGACACATTTAGATCATACTCCAAGTGCTCATCCCCGTAGCCTGGACCAGTATGCTGGCACACAGAGCTCTGCAAATGTCCGCAGGTGGCTGGGTTAGGAAATTCTTGTGGCTAGTTTTGGTTTCGGCCATTTTCAAAAGCACACAGGATACATACAGAGCATGGTTAAAAGGTACTAGTGCCATCAATCAGTGACAGGCTCACCGGATGCCCCCCTCAGTTTGAAAGTTTAAGAACTGGAGTATTTGTGCACAGAAGAGCCTATACCAAAAGGCCCATTTTATCACATGAAAGATCATAAGGTTCTCTGTTTCAGGTATCTTTATTACAAAGGAGTTACACACTTGAGCCTTGAAATCCAAATTTTTAAAATGTGTTCTATTTCCATGCTAATTTTGATGCAATATGAGTTCATGATACCGTATGTGAGTTCCTGAGGTTGAGAGGTTGCTCAAGAACAGAGTTTGAAAATGTTTCTTAGGACAAATTTTATCAAAGAGACATGGTTTAGAGAGTATAGTTTTGGAAATGGCCTGTTACTTTGGGAGTCATTTAATACAAGAAAATAACAAAATCATAGGAGTATGAATAAAATTAATATGAACTGTTCTGTAAATAGTCCATCTGAAGAATTTCTGAAGCTTTGTTTTATCAACATTTGATTTTCAGGCATAAGTATGAATTTCTGCACAACAGAACAACTCCAGATATAAGAATAACAGTTCCGCCAAAGAAGATTGGCATTCTGTTAGACTATGAAAATTCAAAGTTGTCATTTTTCAATGTGGACATTTCTCAGCATCTATACACATTCAAATGTCAGCTTCACCAATTGGTACATCCCTGTTTTTCTTTGGAAAAGCCCGGGTGTCTAAAGATACATAATGGCATTTCAATGCCAAAGCATGTCACTTTCTGACCATTCTGATGGCCAGTTTCCTGTCTCTCTTGTATACCTACCCCTCTCAGCTGGCAGAACTTGGCATTCAAGCACCACGTGCCCAGCACAGTTTATGGCTCATGTCATTACCTGGCAGACTAGAGTGCTGGCTCTCATTTCACCTGACCTGGATTCTAGCCCTGTGCACTGCTACCTGTGTGACGCTAGGGTAGCCATTACCAGGCCCAGCTACAAAATGAGGGCTCAGACTAAACTCAAAACTCTTTCAAGTTGGCAAATTGTATTTGTCTACTTGTGTATATGTAAAGTCTCCTGAGTCTGCAAGGCCTGCAGAGCTCGGGGAAGGGGAGGGAAGTCTTACTGGCTCCAGCACCCAGTACACTCACATTTCACGAGTCAGAACAGACTTGAGCAGGTAAGAGGCAGCCCAGAGAAGCAGGGACGCCATGTCCCCTTCCCAATGCCTCCTCCCCTCCTGTCTGCCTGACAGTGATCAGCGCTGTGGTGACATGCCCCCACTGCGCACTCTTTCCGCTCCTTCATAGTGCTCACGCTGCTCTCCAGGTTTGAAATTCCCTCTGTAATGCCTACTTCCATGAAAGCAGGGATAGTACCTGTTTTGTTCACCCCTTGATCCCCAAGGGCTAACATATAACAGCTGACACCAAGTATTTGTTGAATAAATTTGTTGAGAATCTTCTTCATCCAGCCACTGCTGTGTGGCCCCTCTCTGCTCTCCATGTGAAGGATGCAGGGCTCTGTCAAAACTGTAGCAAAGGACCTATGGCCTGAAGAGGAAAAACCCAGAGGGGAGGCAGCATGAAGGAACGGAAGGGCGTCTGTGGCTTGATGGCAAGATGGGGAAACATGGGACACTACTACTACAAGCAGCACACACATAAATGTGGTGCTTCTGTTATGTGTGTTGAGGAGGGGGGTACAGATGGAGATAAAATAGAAAAAACATTAGTTACAGCTGATTCTATAAACTGTCCTGCAATGTAAAAAGAACCAGATTTGAAATGAGAAGACCTGTTTGATTGCTACTTTGTAGCTACTTTGCCTTATGACCCTGGAAAAGTCACTTTATCTTCCAGAGCTGCTGTTTCCCTTTAAACAAAAGAAAAATACTTGTCGCACAGGTCTGGGAGACTTACTGACACACTCAGACCACCTAACAATATATGGTATAGTGCAAGTGCACAACAATTTTTTAAAAACAATCAGCCCCCTAAAGGGCACAGCTGAGTGCTGATGGGAAGAGTGGTGTTTAGCCAGCAGCCCTAAGGCATCCTGCCTCACTGCCCCCTGCCATTCTGTGACCTCGATGCCCAACTCCATCGGCTGCACTCCTGGTTCTCCACTTCCAATTTCCAGCTACCATGTAAGCTCTGCACAAGCAGCATTTTCAAAGCTTGTGAGTCAACACAGAGCTCATTTGTGAACCAATTATCAGAGACAATTCTGTATCATGCCGCATGGATGCCTCTCTAAACCCAGAGATGCCCTCATCTCATCACTTAACGTTTTGTGTTAGCTGGAAAAGTCTTTCGCTTTAAAACTTTCCTGTTTTCCGGTACATGTACAATCTAACACACTGAACACTTCTCACCTCCTCCTGAACTCTGCCCACTGATACAAACAGCAGCTCAGGTTCCTGAATTAACAAGTCATCCTGACAATAGCTCATTACACGACCCGCCCACCCCACCCCCACACACACCTGCTCTGCCAAGCTGGGTCACTTACCCTGAAATAAGGTACAGCAGATGTAAACACAAAACGGTTCAAGTTATGAACGATTATATGTATGTGTATACTCAAAAATGTTCTCAGCTACTGAAATAGAACCTGCCAAGTAGGAAATAGGATTCACACAGAAGGCAAATTTGAATTCAGGGTTCTAACAGGCTTTATGGAGTACTTCACATGTTAATATCAATGTGGATAAATGGATAAAAACTGGACCCTTGTAAGGTTTTGGTAAGATTTTTATTTGACCAAGAAAGAAGTGTCTAGAATTGTCTTTGACATTTAAAATCCACTTACACAAGGCAGATGACCAAGCATCGCAATTATTCAGCATAAAGAACCTTTGTGGAAACATCTTTCTCATTTATTTAGAAGAAAAAATAAGTCTAGAACAGAACCAAATGGAACTTTTGTTTTTTTGTGAAATATTCAAATTCCTTAAAATACCATGAATAATCTGCTGAAACTAAATTTCAATAAGGGGCAGGGTTTACCTCAAGGCCATGTTCACCTGCAACCTGCTGATAAATCTGTTAAAAAACAAAACAGAAAAAGATTTTTTAAAACTTAGATCATTGTAGGTGCAATCCCCAATACTGGGCAGTTAAAATATATCAAAATCTGTTCTTTTCTCAGCTTTACCTGCATCACTTGATAACCCTTGAGCAAGTCATTAACATAAGCTTTGGCCTCCCCACCTTAACAAAGGGGAAAGAGAATAAAACCACCACAGAATCTTGATTTAAACTAACATGTGCTTAGTAATGCAGAACACAGTAGTTAGAATTGAAGGCACTCTATCAGAAGAATTGGAAAGTTGATTAAATAAAATTACACTGGTTTCTGATAAAATTGTCCTTTATTTAGAAAAGTTTGTTTAATAATCAACTTCCTGCTGGTTCAAATAATACACAATCACATGTATATATCTAATAAAAGATTTCTGAAGCATGTACTTGGTCATCAGTATAAAGCAGAGCAAATGCATGGGCAGGGGGGCCTTTTTCTTAATACTTCCAATTCTTCAAAAGGTGTTAAAATCACAATCTTGGCTGAGTGTGGTGGCTCATGCTTGTAAAACTCGTACTTTGGGAGGCCAGGGACAGGAGGATTGCTTGAGGTCAGGAGTTTAAGACCAGCCTGAGCAACATAGCAATCCACGGGGCTCTATAAAAAAACAGAAAAATTAGCTGGTCGTGGTGGTGTGTGCCTGTAGTCCCAGCTACATGGGAGGCTAAGGCAGGAGGATCACTTGAGCCCAGGAGTTTGAGGTTGCTGTGAGCTATGATCATACTACAGCCCTCAATCTCATGAAGCAAAGCAAGACACTGTCTCAAAAAAAAACCAAAAACAAAACACAACTTTATATAACTCATACACTGGAAGATGCCCACAGCACAACTAACTGTGATTTGGCATTCTGTAAAGGAGACTATATTGGTCTCTATGCAAAAAGGTTCAGTTATTAGAAAACTTTTTGGATTCTACAAAGCCTGCACTACATAAAGAGTCCTCTCTCCTCAACTTACCAAAACAACTTCTCTAATTTCTAGTCACCTTCCTCTCAATTAGTAAAGATTCTCACGTGTTCACTATGTCTTTCTCTACCTTTCTTATCTATAAACTCATTATTCCTATTTTCAATGGAAAGACAATAGAAAGTATATAATTACTGTTGGTAGATAAGTAGGTCTTGAATTTATTTTGCAAACAAGACCTGTTCTATCTACCTTTTCATTTAGGAGGCTAAAAGCAGAGTCGGCTTGACTTCAAGGACTCTGTTTTCTTAGTCTCCAGGAGAATATGACCAAGTCCAACTTTAAAACATGGTCTTTCAACATAACAAGATGTTAAAAGAAAGATCATTTCTAATTTCAAGCTTTAAGAGATTTGAATTCTTTACATACATTTGCCTCATTATAACCAATGGTTAATTAATCTAAATGTAAGATAAGAGTCTGTTATTGGAAAATAAGACCCCAGGTCAGCATCTCTGCCACTAAGAAGTCTCCTGGAAATAGTGTGACTGTGACCTTGGCACAACAACTGCCCCTAAATTTTTGAGTTGCTGGTTCTTTTCAAGTATATCATGTCTGACTGCTTCACTGATTGTTTTCTGCTATTGCCAACCCCAGAAAAAAAGCCCAACTCACTGATTGTTTTTTCTTCACTTTCCCAGACTGTAATGGAAGCAGTTTTTCTGTTCTATTTTCACCTTACTCAAATCAGTGGAATTAAACTATCATTTATTTGAACTGCACAAATTAAACAGCTTACAGCTGATCCAAACAAAATGTAATCACTCAGATACAGCTAATAAAGGTGTTTTTGTAGTCTCAACTTGGATTCTAATCTTGCTGTCTCTCCCATTCTTTCCTAAGCCTAAATGTGGGTCTCTTCCTTGAAACGAGTTTAAAAGACACTGTTAACTTCAAACAGGTTGGACTGGAGACAGGAATATAATCCATTCTCTGGGAAAGTACTCAACTAACAAAATTGAGGTTTCCCAGCTGTGCATTTGAACAAAGGAGGAACACAACTTTTAGAGGCAGACTTACTGGGTATAAACATTACTTCTTGGTAAACCTATTATTCTGCCCCCTCATACTTCCTTTTGAACATCCATCTAATGAAGGGGAGAGGGGCAGAGAGAAGAAAAAACAAGAAGCACTATCTAAAAATAAGGACAGTACTCTGGAGACAGGTGTAGAATATTTGGTACTGTCTTTTGTACCATTTACAATTTATAAGCCAGCCACAATTCCTGGGTACCTGAAATGGACCTCCCCTTCCTTGTCCACCTTATGCCTATATAGCTTTTCAAAAAATCACCTCTTGGAAGCACTGCCTAATTCTTCTCTCTCCCAAGCCGAGTTAAGTGCCACACACTCACCTCTTTTAGCATACATAAGTAGATATACTATGACCACTGACCTGTGCCTGCTCCACCTCACTGCAAGCAAACCAAAGGTAGGCACTGTGCCTTCATAATCTCTGAATGATCAGAACATGGAAACAAGTGCTTTGTATTTTCAGGGAGCTCATATACCTGAAAAGAGACATCAAATTACCTTTTAAATCAAAGGAAAAGCCCCTTCACTAGAAAGCAAAGCAGCTTTCAAATTTTTGTGTGCTTGGTGGACAGAGGGGAAGGTTAGAAATATGAACCAAAAACATCAACCTTTCTTCTGTCCCAGTACACCTGAGGGATCTGACACTGTTAGCAACAGTGCTCTGTGGTGACTTCTAATCTGGGAAGAGTGAGAGAGAGTGTAGAAGAATCTGGGAGGTGGGATAGATGGATGTGGTTTAGAATATTCCTTCCATCGCTGCAAGAGACCTTTGACACTCACATTTCATATTTATTGTAGCTTTCACCAATCTTAGAAGAGCGCAAAGATCTATAACATGTGTATTTTAAACGTTCTGAGTTATAAATTTGGTTCATGTACGCTGGTGAGTGGAAGCTGCATCCTTGGCCACTGAGTAAGCTTAACTGTCAATCTTATATTTATAGCACAACATCTATGTTGCTGTCTGCTAGTTTTAGAATCTAAAACTTTATGGAGAAAATTATATGCTATAAAGGTAATGACAAACTTAGGGGCTTATACAGATCACAAGTGATTCCTTCTCAAATGTCAAGTGTCTTTAAAAATCATTTTATGGGAGAGACTCCCTCGCATGTAATAGAAAGCAACAATTAAAGTAGCTCAGTACCTAACAAAAGTCCCTCTCCCCCAAATAACTTTGGCCAAATTTATATATACACTATCTGTAAGGTAAAAAGAAGATGGAGGCACCCCCTATTACTAAAATCTCATCCTTTTCTGAAAAGGTGATGGATGGCTAGAATTTTCAGCTAATGGGATCTCATGTTCCATTATTTTAAATACAAATATATGTTCCCAGTCTTTCAAAGGACCTCAAGCCAATTTCCCAAATAACGACATATCTACTTGTCTACCAAGGATTTCCACATAAAATTAAGGTATTTTAAACACTATTTACCTCTTTATGTAACAAGTATAACTCAGTAGTGGACATTTTTCTATGCAGTAACTTACCCACTGAAAAGTCATGAGTCTGGAAGAGAGAAAAAGGAGATGGAAGCTGAACGCTATAACACACTGAGATTTCTGGTAGGGGAAGGTGATTTAATTGGCCAAGGGAGTGAGTAAAACAGACTGCTTTGTGGCTTGTGCATGTTCAAATTCAACGGAACTAGTCGAGTCTTCTCTTCTTAGCCCTTGATTCTCTAGTTGTCCCGAACCACTGTCAGAAGCCGTATAAAAAAGCAATAGGGCCAGACACAGTGGCTCATGCCTGTAATGCCAGCACTTTAAGAGGCCAAGGTGGAAAGATCACTTGAGCCCAGGAGTTTGAGGTTATTGTGACCTATGATTGTACCACTACACTGCAGCGTGGACAACAGAGTGAGACCTTACCTCTTAAGAAAAAGAAATGCAACTGGATGAAAACAAGACAAACTGGACATCTGTTTGTGTTCCCTGTGCCTGGAATTATACAGCTCCTGGAAATACAAGATTGTGCTTGTTATTGCATTTCTAAAGTGATACTTCTGCTCATGTCATGATCCCTTGCAATAGCAATCATTTTTGTCTATATAATCTAAAATTTCTTTAAAACATTTGCACAGAACAATTGTTCTCAAAATGTGGAGCCTGTGGGGGCCTCTGAGAGCCTTTCAGGATATAGTGAGGACAATACTATCTTCATAATATTATTAAGACATTATTTGCCCTTCTCCCTCTCATACCATGAGTGAACAATGGAGTTTAACCAGAGGACATTCATCACTATGACAACTAATGGAGTGTATGCTTGTGTATTCATGTGTTTAAAAATATTTCTCAGTTTTTAATTTCTAGTACCATAAATATTTTTATAAATAACCTACATAAATAAAAGCTCTTTGGAGACCTCAATTTTCTTTTTAATGAGACAGCGTCTCACTCTATCAACCAGGCTGGAGTGCAGTGGCATAATCATAGCTTACTGCAGCCTTGAACTCCTGGGGACTCAAGCAATCTTCTTGCCTCAGCCTCCTGAGCAGCTAGGATTACAGGTGCACACCACCACACCTGGCTAATTTTTCTTATTTTTTGTAGAGATGAGGTCTCAATATGTTGCCCAGCCCAGTCTCAAACTCCTGGCCTCAAGCAATCCTCCTGCCTCAGCCTCCCAAAATGTTGATATTACAGGCATGAGCCACTGCTTCCAGCCTCTCAATAATTTTAAAGGGAGTCTTGAGACCAAAATGTTTGAAAATTGTTTATATATTCATGGCTCCCCTACAATATCTAGTTGATCAGTCTTAAGATTTCCCCCATGTGATGCCAACAGTTTTTCAATATTTGCTAATGTACCAGTTGTTTTCTGGACCTCTTAGGGTCGCTTACGTTCTTCACAGGCTTGCTCTTTTCCAACAACACATGTCCATTTTATGACATGAGCAAGACGATAGCAGTAATGCACAGTGCATTTAAAAAGCACAAACACCAAATGTATTATTACTTAAGACAGCTAAGTTTGACTGCAGTGTACTCTACAGCATCTCACCTGGACTTGTGGGCAACTTACAAGTTCTCTATAGGCGGTTTTTGATTCAGATAGTTTTGGATAAACTTGGAGTTTGAATAACTTTGGAGTTATTACAGCATATAAGCATAGTGAGAGCTCAGGTAAGTAATCAGACCTAAGTCTTCTAGGGTGAGCACGTATCTTGTTTAATGAACCCCAAGCCTTTCTTTGTAAAGGTATGTATCAGGTAATGAAAGTTCCATCTTCACCTTGCTACTACATATGTGATGCCCAATGGGAAATGACAGAAGCGACGTGACAGACTCATCTGCAGTTATGAAGTATGGAAAATATAGATGACTGACAGTTCTAAGTCCTGATACACACTGACTTTGCCTTTGATGGATTCATACTGTATCTAAACGTCTGTCACCATCCACTTCACTCCTCCTCACCTCCTGCCCCCAAAAGACAAATTGTTTCACAATCCAAAGAGATACTATGGGATAGAAGAAAGAATTCCAGGCTGGAAACGAAGAAACAGAGCTTTTAGTCCCCACTCTGTCACTAAATAAGCTGTGTGACTCTCGGCCTCTCTTTCACTATCCTTCAGTTTAAGCTGAAACTAAGCGGATGACCAAGATGGCTTTGTTCCACCTCTGACACCAAATGATTTTGCTGGCAGGTTCAGGAAGCTTAAAAACGACCAACTCCGTGTGTGTTTTAAAATTAATGCAACAAGGGCTGCTGCCTCAAGCAGGAATCACCGCTTCAGAATGTCTGGATTTGCACAGGCCTAAGCGCTTATGCGACACAGGACAGCATCACCTATGTGAAAATTGCAATTCCTTTTCTTAAAACTTTCCTCCGTGTGCGTATTCGTCCCTTCCACATTAATACCCACTGAAGCTCCGGAGGCTACCAAACTCGCTTTTCAAACGAGGTCGCGAAAGCTAAGCACAGTGAACCAGGAATAAGGCCCATGTCGCCGACCCCGCGATAGATACACCAACCTGTCGCTTTTACCCCCGTTCCCTGCCGCATCTCTGAAACCCGACACGCCAGCCTGCCTACTAGGACGCTGCAGTCACCCGCAGCGCAGGGTGGTCAGAGACAAGCCTTACTCTACGCAACACAAGGGAGCCAACCTTTGAGGTCCGATGCTCTCCGCAAGGACTCAGTCCTTCCGGCGGAAAAGAGCCCTTCCGGTTTCCTGGGCGTGGGGGGGAAGTCCCGCCTCTACGCGACGGCCGGACGTAATGAGGCGCGCCAAGGCGCAGCGCGCAGGCTCGGAACAGTGCACAGGTTGATGCCACTTCCGAGGGGTTGACTCAGTGCCTGCTAGGACGGGAGTAGGCAGGCAGGAGGGCTCGCTTGAGTTTAAGAGTTCAAGACCAGCCTGAGTAAGAGCAAGACCCCGTTTCTACAAAAAAATAGAATAATTAGCAGGGCATGGTGGTGTGCACCTATAGTCCCAGCTACTCAGGAGTCTGAGGCAGGAGGATCGCTTGAGCCCAGGAGTTTCAGGTTGCACTGAGCCGTGATGATGCCACTGCACCCTAGCTGGAGCAACAGAACAAGACTCTGTTTCAAAAAAATAAGAGTTCACTGGTTAAATTATGGTCTATTCATACAGTAGAATACTAGGCATTCATTAAAAATGGTGTAAATATGTATTTTGGGCATTAATAACTGGGTAAGAGAAATATGTTTAAAAATGCATGTTACAAAACTGAGTTCTAAAAATATAAATTATATATACATGACTGAAGAGGGAAGGGAATCCAATTATAACAATGGTTAGATCTGAGAGATAATATCCTAAGTTCTTTATTTTTATTTCTATAGAAATCTCTGTCTTCTTAACTCTTTTACAATTAGCATGTTTTTAATAACCAGGACATATATAATTTATTTTTGGAGCAACATAGTGACTATTCTTGTACACAAAATTTTGCATACATCTTGACTTTCTTAGAATTAGTACTGAGCTTTAAATTATTTGGTCAAGAGAATACGTTTTTTGAAAGTTTACATAGATATTTCCAAATTTCCTCTTCAGAAGAAGTGCAAATTCACCAGCAGTGTTTGACGGTGCCACTTCCCCAGACCCTCACTGGAACTTTTTCATTTTTCTTCTAATTTGACAGGTCATCACTTCTGTTTGCTTCCTAGGAGGGATGTTTCATGTTATTGACACTCAAGGAGTTACTCCTTTCAAACTGGCTTTTTATGGTTTCCAAAGTTTTGTTTGTTTTTAGCCTTCTACTGTAAACATTTCTTGTCTGGTTGATTTTTTCATGAGTAGTTATCAAAAGAATTGCTTTAATATTTGGAGCCCTTCTCTACCCAGTCCATAAAAGTATAACAATTAAAACAACAAATTCCTGAACTCAGTTCATTAGATTTCAAAATGATTTTTCCTCTGGTTGAGGCAGTGTAGGGTGGGGATTTGGAGTTTGAGATTTATAGTCAGACTGCCTGGGCTCAAATCCTAGTTCTACAACAATTTACTGATTGTAACCTTAGTCTAGTGAATGAACTAGACTCAGTTCCCTCAACCACAATATAATGATGTCTAAGTGAAACTATCCATGTAACCATGTGACACAATACTAGCACCTAGCAAGCTCTCAGATTGTATTTATTACTACTATTCTAAGAAAAGAAACTGATGAATCGATACAATGCTATGAATTAAATTGTGCTCCCTCTCCCCAATTCAAATGTTGAATTCCCACCCCCCAGTGTGATGGTATTTGAAGATGGAAACTTTGGGAGGTAATTAGGTTTAGATGAGGTCATAAGTAGGGTCCTTACAATACTTTTAGTGCCTTTGAAGGAGGAGACGTCAGAGAGCTAGCTTCTCTCTCTTTCTCCCTGCCCTGTGAGGACATGGCAAGAAGGCAGCCTTCAGCAAGCCTGGAAGAGGACCCTCCCCAGGAACCAAATCTACCAACACCTTGATCTTGAACTTTCCAGCCTCCAGAACTGTGAGAATAAACGTTTGTTGTTTAAGCCAACCAGTAAATGGTACTGTGTTACAGCAGTATGAGGTAAGATATACAATCTTTTTATTATCATTCAGCACGTGGCCTAAGAGTCTTAAGTGAGAAGTAAAAGGGGAGTAATGATGACAGGCCATGAGAGATGGGTTAGGAATGTAGGTGAAAGTAAGGAGTACACGGTGATCAATTGATGCTTTTCCTGCATCTATCCATGTTTAACCTCTAGGGTGTTTCTCTGGCAGCTGTTCTCCCAAGCAACAAAGACTTGACATGCCTGATTTTGTTGCTAATTTTGTGGAAGATTATGGAATGAGGTTGCTATATGAGGCTAAGTCATCCTGACTGTAAAATCCTGGACTATATGTTCTGCAGCTTTCTTTCCTTTTTTTTTTTTCTTTTTTTGTTTTTTGCCTCAGTTTTTTGCCTCTCACTAATCAACATTAGTGAGAATGCAGCTTTTCTTTCTTATCTTCCCAAGAAGGCTTACTGTTTTCTTTTTTTGAGACAGAGTCTTACTCTGTTGCTCCGGTGTCAGCCTAGCTCACAGCAACCTCAAGCTCCTGGGCTCAAGCGATCCTGCGGTCTCAGCCTTCCGAGTAGCTGGGACTACAGGCACGCACCACCATCCCCAACTAATTTTTTCTGTTTATTTTTAGTTGGTCAATTAATTTCTTTCTATTTTTAGTAGAGACGGGGTCTCGCTCTTGCTCAGGCTGGTTTTGAACTCATGATTTTGAACGATCCTCCTACCTCAGCCTCCCAGAGTGTGAGGATTACAGGTATGAGCCGCCGCGCCCGGCCTGGCTTACTGTTTTCTAGAGTTTTCTTTTTGTGTAAAAATACTCCTTTGTTACTAAATCAGCGTTAAGGTATTGTAAAAGGAATTAAAATTTTCCTATCCACAATGCCATTAAATTAATACCAACTACTTTAAGGTTCAGCTATTTATTTTACATGTGATCAATTTTATACACTTGTTTGTTCATTCAGTAGGATTTCAAAAGCTTATTTCAATATTGCTATTCATTTATAATACTCCATAGAACCCCATTATCTCTGACAGGGGAGTTATGCTGCATGATATATGTGTGGTCAGTGAATACTAGGCTGACCACTCGAATCAGTGCCCAACAGAGGAGGTAGTTCACGGGTGGGGAACCTGTGAAGTGTAGCCTTTTGACTGAATCTAAATTTTGCAGAACAAATCCTTTTATTTTTATTAATACATTTTTGCTTATCTTTTATATTTTTATTTTACTTTTAAAATGGATGTATTTAAAATACCAAAGAGCAAAATAAGTTTTGCCAGATTGACTGGCACAATTAGAACATTAGTAAGCCATAAGGGCTAAATTGACAGTTGCTACACTCATGATTTAGTTCTAACTTCCCCCACCTGAGTGGTCCCACTACTGTATGAGGCTGGTTGGTGAGAGTTTATGGGGGTCGAGTATGTCAGTCTGTTATCAACTTTTGGCAATGATGCACTCACTGTGTTTCTGTTTGAAGTGGAATATGTGAATAGTTGCACAGCTCAACAGTATTTTTTAATTCTGTCTGCTTAACAGCCCATCATGTCAAAAAAGACCAAGAGAATGCTGAAGGAAGAAAACAGATTTTTTAAATTGAGGATTGGCAATTGCAATATTATCTTGTTTATCCTAAAGATAAGATGATTTGCTTACTTTGTAATACTGTAATATCAACCTTAAAGAAATTTAGTGCTCATCAGCATTATATAATAATAGTCATAAGGACCACAGGTATTTTAAATTAGAGGGAGAGGCATGAAAGGTTGTACTGCAGAAATTAAAAGATGAAAACCAAAAAAGCAAAAGACAATTGTTTCAAGCAGCAATAAGACCTGGAAATAATGTCATTGAAGCAACTTATAAAGTAGCTTATATACTCAGGAAAAAAAAGGAAACCATTCAGTGATGTAGAAATTCTGAAAGAATGTATTGGTAAAGTTGTGGGATGCTTAGACCCCAATAACATTTCGAAGTACAAACAGCTGCCTCTTTCAAGGTAAACCCTAACTGATTGACAGTATGAATTAACCTTGAACTTAACAACTTCATACAATATTTCAAAAGGAAACTATATATTACATTATTCAATTGCTTTGGATGATTCAACTGATACTACTGACTTAGTGCAGGCTTTATGTTTCATTTGGGTCATAACAGAAGATTTTCTTTGCTGTGAAGAGTTACTTGCTTTGGGCATTCTTGTGAACAGAACATGGGGAATAGATATCTTAAACAACTTTCAAGACAAATATCATGAAGTTGGACTGAATTTGGTAAATTTAGTGAGCATATATACAGAAGGTGTGCCTTCCATGACAGGAAAACATGAAGGGTTTATTGCACAGATAAAAAAATATTAACAGTTTCAGATTCTCTCATTTGTTTCCATTTTTTCTTGCATCAGCAAAATCTCTGTGCTAAAGCTACTATTTTAAGTGACACTCTGCAAAAACTATACATGGCATTATCCGTTTTTTAACATGCTGAAGTTGAAGGATGAGTTATTCAGTGTGGATTTGCCATATCATTCTAAAGTGTTTAGGCTATTGCAGGAACAGGTGTTAGCCAAAGTTTTATTTCTGCAAAAACACATACTTAAATTTTCTGAAGAACAGAATCAGCAATGTAAATTATTGAAAGAAGATTTCTATAGGAATGCAGCATTTCTGTATGATACCATGTCAAATCAAAACAACTTGAATATTTATTTACAAGGTAAAACTAAGTCTATATATGATATGTGGCCAAAAATCCAAGCATTTAGAGAAAAGCTATGTATTTTTCAAAACACTTCTTCAAAAGGAAATTTTGGATGAATATTTTCCCTAGTTAGCAAAGGTCATTGATGAGTAGGATGATATCTGTATATTATTTGAAGAATACACAGCTATTACAGATCTATTAATTGGAGAATACAACTAAAGGTTCACTGACTTTGAGAATCATGACACCACACTCAAATTAGCATTTCAGCCTCATCTAGTCGATATCACCAAGGCACCTAAAGAACTACAGATGGAATTGACTGAGCTCTCAGTAGGTGACATTTTAAAGTCATTGTTTGATGCTAAGAAAGATACAATGGAAAAGTGCAGTAGAATACCCATGCCTTCAGCAACATACCTGAAAAATTCTTTCTTGCTTTTCAACCACCTACTGCTGTGAATCTACATTCTCCTACCA